CTGTAGTCTCCGCTACTCCTGTCATCCCAGCTACTCCTACAGCCTCAGCTACTCCTGTCTTCCCAGCTACTTCTATAGTCCCAGCTACCCGGGAGGCTGAGGCAGGAGGATCTCTGGAGCCCGGGAGCTGGAGGTTGCTGTGAGCTATGATTGCGTCACTGCACTCCAGCCTGGCCGACACAGACAGAACTATGACTCCTAAAAATGATAATAATATCAAGTTCCATGATTTTTATAAAAGAATTTAAAAAAAATGAAAAATATTAAAATTAAATTAAAAACAGCAAAAAAGCCAAAACAAAACTAATAATAATCACCTGTGTCAACATCCCAGCGTGAATCTATAAAAGATATAAACACTTAAAAAATATCTATAACAATATTTATTGATATTATCTTTTTTATATGTAACAATATTATTTTTATATCTAAAAGTATTGACACTTTCTTCACAGCGCCACGCAGCGGGTCTGTGTTCAGATGTGTGATTGCTCATGAAAATCACATATTTTGTTTTTTTTACCCAGTTTGTTAAATTAATTGGCCAACTATAAATACATGGAGAAAATTTTTTTTTAATTCTTCTAGACCAGGCGCGATGGCTCACGGCTGTCATCCCAGCTACGCCTGTAGTCCCAGCTACTCCTGTGGTCCCAGCTACTCCTGTGGTCCCAGCTACTCCTGCCATCACAGCTACTCCTGTGGTCCCAGCTACTCCTGCCATCCCAGCTACTCCTGTAGTCCCAACTACTCCTGTCATTCCAAGCTACTCTTATAGTCCCAGCTACTCCTATAGTCCCAGCTACTCCTGTAGTCCCAGCTACTCCTGTAGTCCCAGCTACTCCTGTCATCCCAGCTGCTCCTATAGTCCCAGCCACTTCTGTAGTCCCAGCTCCTCCCGTCGTCCCAGCTACTGTTGTAGTCTCAGCTACTCCTGTTGTCCCAAGCTACTCCTCATCCCAGCTACTCCTATAGTCCCAGCTACTCCTGTCATCCCAGCTATTCCTGTCGTCCAAGCTGCTCCTGTAGTCTCAGCTGCTCCTGTCTTTCTAAGCTACTCCTATAGTCTAAGCTATCCCTGTAGTCCCAGTTACTCCTGTTGTCCCAGCTACTCCTGTCATCCCAGCTACTCCTATAGCCCCAGCCACTTCTGTAGTCCCAGCTCCTCCCATCATCCCAGCTACTCCTAAAGTCTCAGCTACTCCTGCCATCACAGCTACTGTTGTAGTCTCAGCTACTCCTGTAGCCCCAGCTACTCCCATAGTCCCAGCTACTCCTGTCGTCCGAGCTGCTCCTGTAGTCTCAGCTACTCCTGTCTTTCTAAGCTACTCCTATAGTCTAAGCTATTCCTGTAGTCCCAGCTACTCCTGTCCCAGCTACTCCTGCCATCATAGCTACTCCTATAGTCCCAGCTACTCCTGTCATCCCAGCTGCTCCTATAGTCCCAGCTACTCCTGTCATCCCAGCTACTCCTATAGACTCAGCTACTCCCATCATCCCAGCTACTCCTATAGTCCCAGCTATTCCTGTCATCCCAGCTACTCCTATAGACTCAGCTACTCCTGTCATCCCAGCTACTTCTATAGACTCAGCTACTGTCATCCCAGCTACTTCTATAGTCCCAGCTATTCCTGTCATCCCAGCTACTCCTATACTCTTAGCTACTCCTGTCATCCCAGCTGCTCCTATAGTCTCAGCTACTCCTGTCATCCCAGCTACTCCTATAGTCCCAGCTATTCCTGTCATCCCGGCTACTCCTATAGTCTCAGCTACTCCTGTCATCCCAGCTACTCCTATAGTCCCAGCTACTCCTGTCATCCCAGCTACTCCTATAGTCCCAGCTACTCCCGTCATCCCAGCTCCTCCCACCGCCGTCCCAGCTCCCCCTGGAGGAGGCTGGGGCGGGAGGACCGCTTGAGGCCAGCCGTCTGGGAGGCCACCTCATGTCTAGACGGTCACGCCGCCCCCCCTACGCCCCGGTGGGGTTAGGGTTGGGTGGGGGAGGCCAGCCAGGCCTCGAACCAACCCCCTGTGCCTCCACCGCTGCGGCCTCGGGTAGCTTCTCCCTCCCTCCCTCTGTCCCGTCCCCGCCGCAGGGACCAAGCCGGACCTGGGTGCACTCCGGGAGGGCTGCCCGGCGGAGGCAGCATGATGCACTGCCCGGTGGAGGCGCCGGCCAGGGACGCGGGCACAGCAGGGACAATCACCGCCACCACCAAGGGGGCCGACGGCTGGGGCTGCGGCTGCTGGCGACTGGGGTCCCCGCTGGCCTCTGCCACCTCGCTGGGCCTTCCCCCTGGGGCCTCCACATCCCTCAGCGTGGGGGAAGGGGGGCCCTCCTCCAGCTGCCCCAGCTTGGTGACAACGGACATCCAGGTCCCCTCTGGGGGGCCCGGCGCTGGGAGGATCACGCCTCCCATCCCGGCGCTCGGGGAGGCCGAGGCGGGACGATTGCGCTCTTGAGGCCAGGAGTTGGAGGCCAGCCTGAGAACAAGAGCGAGAGCCCGTCTCTACTATAAAAAAAAAAGAAATAAATGAGCTAGACAACGAAAAAATATATACAGAAATAAATGAGCCGGGCGTGGTGTCGCATGCCTGGAGTCCCAGCTACTCGGGAGGGAGGCTGAGGCAGGAGGATCGCTCTCGAGGCCAGGAGTTGGAGGCCGGCCTGAGAACAAGAGCGAGACCCTGTCTCTATGAAAAAAAAAAAATACAAAGGAACGAGCTGGATGACGAAAAAAATATATAGAAAAAACGAGCTGGGCATGGGGGCGCATGCCTGTCGTCCCAGCTACTCCGGAGGGAGGCCGAGGCAGGAGGATCATGTGAGGCTCAAAATTGGAGGCTGCCGTGAGCGAGGCTGACGCCACGGCACTCACTCCAGCCCGGGCGACAGAGCGAGACTCTGCCTCAAAAAAAAAAAAAAATAAACCTCCCGGCCTCCCTGTTGATTCCTGTCACCGAGGATTCACAGGTGACCCGGCTGGACAGTCCTGTGACCGGAAGTGGCCTCCCCTTCCCCAAGCCCCGGCCTCAACCCCAAGTCTGCCCGGCAACAATGACACCCCCGCCCATCACCCCGTCTCAGACGCAAGCCCGGCGTCCAAGGCCAGGGCGTCTCGGGGAAAGGACGGGAATCGTGACACAGGTGCCAGAGAGGTGGCGGGCCGGGCCCCCAAAGGGAATGGGCTTGACCGTAAGGAGGCAGGTGGCGGAGGCTGAGTCATGTTGAATTCAGTCCCTGTCCCCAGGAGGGCTGCGGGGTCGGGGGGGGGGCTCTGATCTCCTCCCCTCTGCCTCCCAGCAGGGCCTGGAGGCTGGGTATAGAGGCCGGGTCTGGAGGCCAGAGCTAGAGGCCAGGTCTAGAGGCTGGGGCTGGAGTCGGGGTCTAGAGGCTGGAGTTGGAGGCTGGGTATAGAGGCTGGGTCTGGAGTCGGGGTCTAGAGGCTGGAGTTGGAGACTGGGTGTAGAGGCTGGGTCTGGAGGCCAGAGCTAGAGGCCCGGTCTGGAGGCCGGGTCTAGAGGCAGGGTCTAGAGGCCAGAGCTGGAGGCCAGGTCTAGAGGCTGGTTCTTGTGGCCAGAGCTAGAGGCTGGGTCTGAAGGCCGGGTCTAGAGGCCCAGTCTGGAGGCTGGGTATAGAGGCTGGATCTGGAGGCTGGGTATGGAGGCCGGGTCTGGAGGCCAGAGCTAGAGGCTGGGTCTAGAGGCCGGGTTTGTAGGCCGGTCTGGAGACCAAGTCTATAGGCTGGGTCTGGAGGCTGGAGCTGGATGCCAGGTCTGGAAGCCAGAGCTAGAGGCTGGGTCTGGAGGCTGGATATAGAGGCCAGAGCTAGAGGCCGGGTCTGGAGGCCAGAGCTGGAGGCCGGGTGTAGAGGCTGGCTCTCGAGGCGAGAGCTAGAGGCCGGGTCTAGAGGCCAGGTTTAGAGGCCGGGTCTGGAGGCCAGAGCTAGAGGCCCGGTCTGGAGGCCGGGTCTAGAGGCCGGGTCTGGAGGCCAGAGCTGGAGGCTGGGTCTGGAGGCCAGAGCTGGAGGCTGGGTCTGGAGGCCAGGTTTAGAGGCCGGGTCTGGAGGCCAGAGCTAGAGGCCCGGTCTGGAGGCCGGGTCTGGAGGCCAGAGCTGGAGGCTGGGTATGGAGGCCGGGTGTAGAGGCTGGCTCTCGAGGCGAGAGCTAGAGGCCGGGTCTGGAGGCCAGAGCTAGAGGCCGGGTCTGGAGACCAAGTCTATAGGCTGGGTCTGGAGGCTAGAGCTGGATGCCAGGTCTGGAGGCCAGAGCTAGAGGCTGGGTCTGGAGGCCAGGTCTAGAGGCTGGGTCTGGAGGCCGGGTCTAGAGGCTGGCTCTGGAGGCCAGAGCTAGAGGCCGGGTCTGGAGGCCAGAGCTAGAGGCCGGGTCTGGAGGCCAGAGCTAGAGGCCGGGTCTGGAGGCTGGCTCTGGAGGCCAGAGCTAGAGGCCGGGTCTGGAGGCTAGGTTAGGAGGCCGGGTCTGGAGGCCAGAGCTAGAGGCCATGTCTGGAGGCCAGAGCTAGAGGCCGGGTCTGGAGGCCAGGTTTGGAGGCCGGCTCTGGAGGCCCATTCGCATCTGCTCATTCGTCACCTTTACCTATTTATGAATCCAGAAATCTTTATCTCAGATCTAGTTTCGAATACACGCAGGCGCGGCCTTTCTGGAAACTTCCACGGGCCGGAGCGTGAACACCGCTAACCCACCGAACGCGTTTCTGTGGCGAGACCCGTTTTGTCGCCGCGGAGGCCGGGGGTGGTGGCCCAGGTGGCCACAGGGCCCGCCAGGGGGTCCCACCTGCCACGCCAACGCCCCCGGAGTCCTGTCCGGCCTCAAGTGGATCGGCCGGTCCCCGGCCTTGTGAAGTCATCCCGGCACTCTGGGAGGCCGAGGCGGGAGGATCGCTCGAGGCCAGGAGTTCGAGGCCAGCCTGGACAGCATAGCAAGACCCCGTCTCTACTAAAAATA